ACAGGGCACCATGGAGAGTTCTGGCTTCTCTTTCAGAGGTTGACCCTGACTTCTCTATGAACAGATTACGGGCCAGAAAGGTCTGGGGACTTGGAAGCAGGGAGAACACTTGGGAAGCTCCTGCAATAGTCCAGGTAGGCAATGTCAATGGAAGGCTGGATTCTGGATACATTTTCAAGGCAAAGCCAAAACGATTTCCTAATTTAAAGTGGAATATGAGGAAAGAACAGAGTCAAAGGTGACTCGCAGGGTTGTGGCCTAACTGGTAGCATGGACGATGCTGAATTGGGGGAGAGGCTGAGGAAAAGGGTGGAAAGTCTTTTCCAGTGGCCAGGTCTGAGGACTGCTACCTCACGGTGCTCCCAGGGCTGGCCTTGCCCACGGTGGGCTCCTCTCTCTCCCCACCGTCTCATCCCTTTGTCTCTGTAGACCTTGAGCCATTGGGGGTTCCATCAGCACAGCCTTCCACCTACCCATCCCTCTAGTTGCCCAACCTACCAATAACCTGCCTTTCACTCTGTCCCTTTTCCCTTTTCTTTCCTTCGCTAAGAACAGCCACCTTCTACTGAATGCTCACCACGCATTCCATGCACTTTCTATGCAGTAGCTTGCTTCCTCTTTGCAACAATCTTAAGAAACCAGGGTCTTGTTTTAGTTCAGGTGGCTAGCCCAGGGACATATACCTAGTGATTGGCAAGGCCAGGGTTCAAACCCATGCCTGTCTGGCTCTGGAGTCCCCCCTTAACCAGGATGCCCCACAATCTCCAGCCTGGAAGTGGCTCCCTCCTGGTCTGCCATCTTTCTCCACTCTGCACCCTTTTCCTAATAAGGCTCCCTTCAGACTTCAGTGCTTCAGCTGGGGTCCCCCTGACAGCCCCAATCCCCACTGTTCCTTCCTCTCTCAGAGGAATGTTGACCAGGATTCTCCTACCTTGGGATCTTTTCCTCTCCCCACTCTCCCAGGACCCTGAGGCCCTTCACCGCCTCTTACAGCAGGAGAGGGGAGGCGAGTCAGCTGCAGGGCCTGGGGGTGGGGGGGTGGGGGCTCTGTGATAGGACCCCACTGCCTCTGCCCAGGTTCCTCCATAGAAAAGAGAACAGAGGCGGATGCAGCCCTTGTGCCCAGACTCTGACTCTGGTTCCCTGGAATGTCGTGTCTCCTAACTCAGCCTCGGTGGGCACAGATGCCAGAGGCCTGGGGCCTTGGTGGTGGGCAGGGACACTTGGAATCAAAGTGCCCTCTTGCGCCATCTCGCTGCCTCCTAAGTGCTCTGAGGAGACTGCTTGTGCAGACAGGGAAATAGAGGCAGAGTTCCCATGACTTCCTCAGTCACCCAACTGAGAGGTCACATAATTGTCTTAAGGCCGGTGTCCTGTGTTCCCGCCTGAGCCCAGAACATCCTGGCTCCAGGCTTTCCATGTTTGCGAAAGGAAATCAGGGAGCTATGAGAACTCCATGGCCTCGCAGCCACATCTCCACTCCCCCGGCCCGGAAGGAGGGCAGGTCTGTTTGCTCTTCTGCAGGTAACTAACTGCCTGAGCAATTCTGCCTGCTGGGCCCCGTGGTATTTGCCTGGAAGGTCCCATCTCCTGTCTGTTACCTGTCTGTCAAAGCCGCTAAGTCCCTCTTCAGGGTGTTTTTCTGCACAAGCTGCCACTTCTCCTGAGCAGGAGGTTTCTGCTCCGTCAAATGCCTTCCTGCCCTCACCCCACCCAGGGCACAGAGCACCTGCCTGATCAGACTCGCAGACCAAGGAGCAATGGATTCAGCTGGCATCTGTGGTGAAGCAGAGCTCCAGACAGCCAATCCGGATGATGTCCCAGGGGCAAAAAAAAAAGTCAGGAGCCATGTTCTAAGATGAGACCCAAGATGGAGGCGGCTTTTAGCCCTGTTTGCAAAGTCTGACCCCAGCGAGGCCACAAAGCCTGGCTTCCTGGTGCTGCTTCCCCGGAGCCGTCAAAACCTTCCAGCTATCGTCCTGGGAAGTCGGTAAAGGGCCCCACCCAACCCTTAGATTTTGTTGCAAAAGGAACAGTTCTCCTTAAACTAAGGGAGCTCTACTTTGGGGGAGAGATTGTCTGGGCAGTTATTTTTCCTTTCAAACCTGAGTTTTGGAGTCAGCAGCCCTGCAATGAAATCTTGTGTGACCAGAACAAGTCATTACAATCATTGAAGCCTCAGCTCCCTTACCTGCAGAATAGGACCACTGTGCCCATCTTCCTGGGACTGCGGGGGACTGGGCTGGGCACACAGTGGGTGCTCCCTAAATGGCAGCCATCATTCTCCACATCCCGGAAGGACAGGACGGCAGAGGCAGGTGCTGCCTCTCTGGCCCGAGATTCCTGCTCTCAGCCTGCCCTGCAGGTCCACAGATGGCTCCCTGAGTGACAGGGTGATAATTCGTCCCTCCCATGATGAAGGGGTACACGCTGCTCCTGTGTGCTCACCTCTGGCGGGAGATGTTCGCCACATCAACGCCAGCCTTCATTTGTAAATTCAGAGGAACAAAAACGCCTCCATCCCCATCCTGCCTTCAGCCACCTGTCCGGTTCTTTTCACCCAAACTCAAGACCTTTGTGGTGTTTCAGTGACAGGGATTGGCTGCCAACCTTGCTGTTCCCTTTGGGCAGGAGAGCCAAGCTCCCTCCCCTCTCTCCCTTTGTCAGAGACCACCCAGTGGACCTTGCTGGCAAGCTGCCAGCGTCCAGACAGGCGAAAGCAAGGCCTGACCACGCAGCCTCCATCCCCGCAACAGAAGGCTCTGTACAGAGCCCAGAGCACCTGACTGAGGGGCTTTCACCTGGAGCTGACGCAGCCCTCCCGATGGCGGACCACCAAGGGCGGCGAGGGAGGGCTGCAGGTGACTGCTTCGAGGGCCTGCGCGTTGCAAGAGCCATTAGAATCTAACACGTGGCTGTAACACCGCAGATTTTTATATAACTCGTTCCCTACAAAACATCCATTCATAATGACAGAGGTACACAGCTGTGAATTTCCATCACTTCATGTGGGCTCACTGTGCTGATGGACTGCGTTATGAAACCCCCTCCGCGTGGGCACAGGTACATAAAAAGGAAGGGCCACACTCACACCACTGTGAGGGGATCGCCTTCCGACAGAAAGCAGAGAGAGAGTCATGTGGGGGAGAGGACTTGTGAAATAATTAGGGGCAGCGTCTGCTTTCACAGAAAAGTTGTAAAGCCAGAACCCCCCAATTTTCCTCTCCCATTAAGTGTGACCCATACCTAATAAACCTGCTGGAACTATAATGTGAGGTAAGTTCAGACTAGTAAAGGCACTGGGCTGGGACGAATCTGGAAACATATTGGCAGAGCCAGGGAAGGTGGGGGAGGGCTCTCCTCAAGCATCCAGTTCCAGCCCAGCCTGGGGGCCTCCAAGGCCAGCGGGTTCCACAGACACTCCTCCTCTTACCTGTACCTCCCATCCTGGGCGCAGGCTACCTCTCGGCAGCCAAGGAGGCTCCTGGGCAACTGCAGGGCCCAGCGGCTTTTATTTGTCCCTAAAATTAATGTCCCCTAACTTGCTGCTCTGGGAATGATTTCAGAGCCAAGCAAACCTACCCTGGACAGCAGAGCCAAGGGCAATGGGACTGAAAGGCAAAAAGCTGAAATCAGGCCTGTGTTTCTAGAATTCTCAGCTAAAATCTGACATGGACAAGGAAAGAAAAGGCACATTTCTCCTTTTCGCCCTGAAAGGTATTCAGTAACTGGTTTTAGAAACGTGTCTAGTACTCACATTTCTGAGATTCTGTATCAATGCAGAGATTCTAGTTTTTAACTTTCCTAAAATTAAATACACACACACACACACACACACACACACACACACACACACACACACATACAACTACTCTGAACTTAACATCTCCTGTGTCAAGAATACTCCAGCCCGTAGTCCGCAAAGGAAAGGTAATTTTTCAGGGAAAAAGCCATGAACAACAGGATGAGCAGAGGTGAAGGAACAGCGGCACCGCCCGCCACTCTGTGCCTGTGAGATGCGGCCTGAGAGGCTGGCAGCCTTTCTCACCGGCGAGGCCGTGTGCTGGGACGCTGGAGCGTGGCTCGCACTGCTCTGCATTTCCCTTCCCGTCAGTAATGGGATCTGAACGGCCCGGGCTCAGGTTCACAGCAAGTACGCAGTCAAAGCTTGTGGAGGGGATGAAGGCTCCAGTCTGCGCACGTCATCCTCCTCCTCTTGTCCAAGGCTGTCCAAACTCATTTCAGAGGAGAATAAACATTCCTTTGCCACACTTGCTGCTGCTCAGCTCTTTCTGCGTTCTTTTTAAATTCGATCCTACTCACCCTGGCCATATTGTGTGTTTTCCTGCTACTTACTAACCGGGAGGACCAGTTGAGACTTTCCTCAACATTTTCTCTGGCAACCGAGTTAAGCTGACTGTGTATTATTGGCTCTGATCTTTCTCCTATGATTTCCTCTTACTGCCCGAGAATCCTGTCCTGAACATCAAAGGCCTTCTTTGAAGATAAGGCCAAATTCACCATTAGGAAAAGAGAAATTATTTCCTAACTTTATTTCAGAAGATGGAACGACACAGAATCCCTCTGGGTTTTGTGAGATAAACACTGCCCGGGACATCGGATCACAAGGCATTCGCTGTAATACCGCTGACAGAGACATAAACACAGGGCTTTCCTCGCCCAAACCTAAGCAGGACTTTTCCACAGCGGTCTTAGATGCCAAATCCCATAGTAAATGGTTTGCATGCAGCATGTCCAAAAGAGTGCCTAAGGGAAAGGGGGCTTCATGTGGCCAGCCCGGGGGATAGAGGCCACCACAGGCTCTGACTAAAATGTATCTGAGTCACAGTAGAACCAACTGTGTAGTCCAGTCCCACTTCAGTTGGATCCTTCCAATACCAAATGAGGAGAGACATTCCATCTTCAAGTGGCAACACGAAACATGAAAAACGACGGACCCTGAAGGCCAGAGATGCTAGACTGTGGGCAGGAAACCTCACCTGTTTCTTCTATTTCGTTGCTGCTGCCATCAGCCGGTGTGAGCGTCGACAAGACTTCATGGGTCATGGGTTTCAGGAAGCTTGTGCTGGGACTGAGGAAAAAGAGAAGTGTCTCATCTTTTGAACAAGCAGATAAACAAACACTTCTGGAGTATTTGCTTTTTATAAGGAGCATTGCTACAAACCGGGGTGATTCCTTGTTAATCCATTTTACGCACAAGAAAACAAAGAAAAAGCAGTTTTTCTAAGATCAGAGGCTTCCTTCAATCTCCAGTTACCTGGCTCCTTGCTAGAAATAGAGAAAAGTGGATGAAGGACAATGACGGCATTGAAAACAATCTGTTGATCTTACAGAACCATTACCTGTGCATCCAGCATCCCCTTTTCATCAATATTCCCCAAATATCTCTCAAAAGCACATTATCAGCTGGCTTCATACAAAGTAAGGTGGGTTTCCTGGGAAGAGGTTTGGGGTAAGGCAGTAAGCAAGAAATGGACCCAGCAAAGTCCAGGGCCAGAGACTGCCAGGCCAGGCTGGAGCAGAAGGCTCCTAGGGAGGTGCCATCACCATGCAGTGGGATGGAGCCACCTATGAGAGGGCTAAGGAGTTTGGATTGTAAACTTCGACTGTTTTTGAGCTGGGTGGTGACTTGTTTGTAGGACTGATGGGAGATGGGTGGGGTAGACAGAGGAGAGTCCAGCCATGTGTCAGCAACAACTGTGATGGGCATGACCAAGTGTGGAGGTATCAGGACTGGAGAGATGGTGTGGATGGTGGAATAATAAAAGGAAGAGCAGGAAAGACTAGATGAGCTTGGGAGGGAGTCTAACTCAGAGGCAGTGGAGATGCAGAGATCTGTGCTCAATGGTTTGAACCAGTGTGAATGGAGTCCACAGGCAGAGCCAAGGCCCCAACCCAAGTTTCCTAATCCTCAGGGCAGTGCCACTTGAGCTGCATCTTTTAAGCCTTGCTTCCAGTATTGGTCCTCCCTTTCTCTAATCATCACCACCCTGAGGGGTCTAAGGAGGCACAAGCCCTATTGAGGAAGGCTTTTGGTAAACACGGATTTCTAGATTAAAAGCAAGCACACTCTTCATCCCACCCCACCCCCACCCCCGCCCCCAAATATTTAATGTAGCCTCATAAATGACGAAAAGATTACATGTGAGGGCTTCATATGGGAGCACTCTTAGGATTTGGTCGTTCCCACCAATAGCAAAAGGACTGGACATACCTGTTTTCTGAGTCTTTGGTCAAAAACATAAGAGAAGCTTCAGGGCTGTCACAACTACATGAAAAGTATTTACGCACATAGATGAAGAAACACAAGTTGTATTATAGCATGGGGTTGTGGGTAATTTTCAAAAAGTCTCTTTATTAGTAGATGCTTGTGCAATAATTAAAAATGGGGGCGGGGCTAGTTTGGAGAACCACCCTTGGACTAAGAAAGCTTATTCTCCTGGGACAAGATGCTCCCAGCCCTGGGTCTGATGTACTATAGATGCTATTGTACTGAAGTATGGAGATGACAAAGAAGTTCCATATATTAAAGTAAACAGATTTTTAAAAATCTAAAAAATCACTTTCTTTTCTCTCCCTCTCCAATTTCCATTTTCCCCCTCTTTCTTATTTTTCCTGACAGCAAGAAAGTTTGGAGTTTGAAGGAAAGAAAGCAAACTCCAGAGGCATAATACTATCTTTTGGTGCCAGGTTAATACTTTCTTATTCAGAGGCCAGAAAGTACTGGATAGTAATTATCTGTTGCATTTGGGGTTTCTTTGGTTTCTTCTCACTTGTTTGAAAGACAAAGAGGGAAAAACCCTTATTCATGAATCATATCAGTGTCTTCGCTGAAATCTGAACCCAGACCCTCCTAGGGCGTGTGAAAGACTGTGACCAGCAGGCTCACTTCTCACCCTCCTTGCTTAAACCCTGGGGTTCCCTCAGGAAGCCAACGGAATTGTTTCGTGAGTAAAATCTCCTACTCCTTCTTAGGGCATGGAAACCACAGATAAGTTGTTAAAGAGGGCTGGAAGCCCAAACACAAATCTCTGGACCCAAATTTGTAGGACGATGGAAAGGAACATAAATCACCCTCTTAGCACAAGTTGGCCAACCAATCAACAGCTCTCTGCTGATTTTAAGCCTTGCTTCCGGTATTGGTCCTCCCTTTCTCTACCATTACCACCCTGAGGGGGTTGAGGAGGCAAAAGCCTTATTGAGGAAGGCTTTTGATAAACACGGATTTCTAGATTAAAAACAAACACCCTCCTCATCCCACCCCCCGACCCTCTTCTTCCCAGACTTGGTCCTTGGTCAAGGAACCAATCATCCTGTCCTCTATCAACCTCCTCTCCCAAGTAAAGCCAACTCCAGTGGCTTAGGCAATCCTCTTAAGAAAATGTCTCTCCCAATGTTACTCTCTGAGATCTCTTGAAAGAGGATAAAAGGGACAGTGTCTGTCGTCTCAATCCTCAGACAATCCTCAGAATGTCTACGTAGGTGTAGGGCCAAACTCTAGGTGATAGATGGGGGCAGACAGGGTCAGCAAAGAGGCACAATAAGGTAACTCCTACTTCTTTCATTTTTACCTCTTTCCATAAACTCAAAGACTCATCTGGTAAGAAAATCATAACTCCACTGCTGTTCCCTCCCTGCCTCTATCCCACTGACCCCAAGGTGCTTCAGGATTACCATGGGAACCTTCTGGGTTTCAATTACCAGACCATTAAAAAGTGCCAATTATAAGACCTCAGAAACGTTCCTGGGTAACCTGTTACACACCTCAAAATGGCCACGCTGGTGCCTCAGAGTCACTTCAAGTAAAGTTTAGAAAACAGGTCCCCCAGCTGTACTGAGCCCTCCAGCCCCCACCTCAGTCCAAGACCCTGTTTTAATATTGTCTATACTGCCCTTGAGAGAATAGGGATTAATTTATTAGCTGTAACCAGAGGGGTGAAAAAAAACACAAACCCCATCACAGAGCTGGGCTGCCGACTCAGGGTCCAGTTGTGGGATAAATCAGAAATGTATGTGCATTCAAGAATTTTGAAAATGACATTTGTTCATTGGCCAATGTTTGCAAAGTTCTGGGCAACAGAGAACTAGGTGACAAATGGGAGCAGGGTACAGGGCACTTGGGGGTGGCACAAGGGCCTGACACCAAAATATGCTTTTCACTCAGTCCACTCAAGGAGGTTAACTCTGGGCCAAAAACTTGTGAGCCCATCTGAACCCGCTGAGAAGGGATGGGGGAGGGGCAGAGCGCCCCACCACACCCAGAAAGTGCCTGTTTAGGACTGCTGGTGTGCGGTTTGGGTATTCTTAGCTTCACTGCCACATCTCTGGAGCGACACAACAACCATTCAAGTAACCCTGCCACTGCCATCCCCATCCCCAAGACAAAACTCAATAAAACAAACTTTCAGTTCCTCCGGTCTGTCTGCTCACCACCCCTCAAAACTCTCCCGTCACCTGGAGCAGACTAACCTCGGGCATCCTGAAGGGTTTAGCAGGGCCTTCAAAACCCAGGCAGAAAATTCTTCCTAGGTTCCTGGCCCCTCCCCACAGCCCCTTCCCACTTGTTCCGCGGTTCATTGCCCCACCTTCTCACAGTTATACAAACAAAAACTCCAAGAGCACAACCCCAGGAGCACGCTGCGCGCGAGCGCGCGCACACACTCCCTTTTACTGCTGCCCCAACCCCACAGACACCTCTGGACACTCCACTGCAGCCTCGTCCCTTCCACCCCTACAGCTGGGGATGCTCATTTTAAACGCCAATGCCATAAACCCTCACCCCCGAAAAAGACCAAACTGGTGTTGGGTGGTTCTGTGTATTTGTCAGTCCCCATGTGGGCTTCTCCCCATGTGGGTTTCTCCCCGTGGTCCGGCGCACGGAGCCAGAGCACTGGTGTCAACCTTCGGGGAAGTTTGGGAGGCTATCCCTGCGCTTCCTCCACCCCAGGAGCTTCCGGGAGCCACCGGCCAGCCCGCACCGCAGGGAACAGGGAACGAAATGCGGCGCCCCAGGCACCCCCCGGCCCGCCGCGTCCCCACTCCTCGTCCCCGCGCCGGTGCGCCCCGCCTCGGCCGCAGCCACCGCCAGACCCGCGCGGGCCGAGCGCTCGGACCCGCTCCGGCTCCCCGCGTGTCCCCATCAGCCACCCGCTGGCGCTTCCTCGGCTTCGCTGGCCTGCGGTCGCCTCCCTCCCCAAACCAACAAATAAACACAACTTTTTATGAAAAGAAAACAAACTTCAGCGACGTGACTCACCTCTGGTGCAGCCGGCTCCTGGGAAGGGAGAGCCGGCCCGGGGCCAGCGTGGTGAGCGCGGAGAGAGCCCCACAGCACCGCACCGCGCGGACACGCAACCCGCACAGTGACACGCAGCAACGCGCAGCACCGGAGAGCGGCCGCGGCGGGAGCAACAAAGGAGCCCGGAGTGCGGGCCGGGAGCGAGGGCGCGTGCGGGCGCGTGCGGCTGCGGCGGGCGTGATTGTGAGTGTGTGTGAGTGTGAGTGTGTGTGTGTGTGCGCGCTTGTGTGTGTGCGCGCGCGCGGCTGACACCGCGGGCCGGGCTCAGGGTCCCCGCGGCAGGAAGCGGGGCCCGCGGCGGCGGCGGCGGCAGCAGGACAAGGCAGGGGACGCCGCGCCGGGCGCACTCGGTCCCTCCATATGGAAGAAGCTTTTTTGGATGACTGAACTCGCAGACAATATCTTCTTTTGCTTCTCCTGCCTAGGAACCTCCCATTACCGCTCGAGGCGGAGGAGGGGGGCCGAGAAGGCGGGGAGGAGGGGGAGGAGCAAAATGGAGCAAAGAAAACGTCTTGGAAAGGAAGCTGGAAAAAAAAAAGTCTCCCAAACTCAGTTTTCCTCCTAACACCCATTTTCTTTCTGTTGCGCCTTCGTCTCGCGCTTCCCCCAGCTCCTCTCTTTCCCATACAAATGGGATGTCCTCTGCCTTTCGCCCACACCCGCGGGCTCTCCTGGACACCCACTTTCTCCTTAGCTTAACCTAGGACCCTTGCTCTCATAGGCTATCCTCCTCTCTCCAGTCTCTTCTCCCCAAGCTTTTTTCTGACATCCCTCCTCGCAATAGTCTCTCATTCAAGCTGCAAACTATTGACTAAATCATTAAAAGCAACTTCTTTTATTAAACTTGACCCCCCCCCCAAAGTTCGTTAGCAACTGTGGAGAAAATGATAAGGAAACCAGTCTTGGGGAAGCCCCAAGGCCACCTCCCCCGACACCCCCCCCCTGCCCCTCCCGGTGGATTGGAGAGGGAGGGTTTGCCATCCTCGTTGACAGCGCCCTGCCCTGACCTCCATTCATCATCCCAGGATGGAGGAGCAAGGAAAAGGGTGAGAGGGGGAGGGCGAGTGGCTCCAGAGAAAAGTTATCTCCGCGTGTGCGTGTGTGTGTGTGTGTGTGTGTGTGTGTGTGTGTGTGTGTGTTAAATCCTCTCTTTAGTGTTGGGCAGGAAACATTCAGAATAGCGGTTCTCAAACTTGAGTTGCATCAGAACCCCCAGGAGGCTTATTAAAACACAGTCTGCTGGGCCCCACCCCCAGAGTTTCTGAGTCAGTAGGGTCTGGGGTGGGCCCCGGGAATTTTCATTTCTAGTAAGTTCCCAGGTGCTGATGCCGCTGCTGGTCCACGGCCACATTTTATTTATTCATAATTTATGTTTTTATTTTATTATTTTTAATTAAAATTTTTTAATTGATTTCAGAGGGAAGGGAGGGGGAGAGAGAGGTAGAAACATCAATCAGAGATAAACATGATTGGCTGCCTCCTGAAGCCCCTACTGGGGATCAAGCATGTGCTCTGACCTGGAATCCAATCAGCCACCTCCTGGTGCAGGGAACCACGCTCAACCAACTAAGCCACACCTGCCCGGTGAGGGCCACATTTAAAAACTACTTTTTCAGGGTATTGAGAAGTCAAACATATGCTGAGTTGGTGGCATGTTAGGTCCCCTTATTCTTTGGGGATGAAACATAAACTGTGAAGGGTCATTTCATACCCTTATATGGCCATTGAGTGAACCAAGACCCAAAAGGGTTAAGGTGTTTATTCAAAGTGAACCTGAGTTTGTGTGAAAGTGGGAAGGAAGGTGACCTCGGAGTTGGTCAGGCAGGCCAAGAGTGGGCTAGTGACAGTGCTGCCCCCCCCCCCCCCTTGGGAGTCAGGGTGCCACTGTGTGGCTTTGAAAAAGTCACCACCTTTCTGGGCCTCTGGGCCTCAATTTCGTTCTCTTTAGTTTCTCATCAGTAAAAATACATACTTTGTGCTGAATATATGATGTTAATAGAATCTGAATAGAAAGATGTTTAAAAGGGCAACATAAATATATTTTATGCATTTTCAGCAAGATGAAAAAGACTATGAACCTCCTCTTTGAACTATACACTTGTATTCTTTCCTCTCCTTTCTCCTCTTGTTTCTTCCCTCCCCACTATCCTTCTCTTTTAATAGCCAACATTCTCCCTCCAACATTCTCCAAGACCTGTTTCCCCCCCAGTCAATTATGATGTTAGCTTCTACCTTCTTACTGTCCTCCTTCTGAGGCACAATTCAGGCCTACAACTCCTGGGGTCCACCCTGGGTACAGAACTCTTTGTTTCCCAAGGGAATGGGTCAGCCAGCTTTCCACTGCACTGAAAATACCCCCTTTCCCCACAGCCTCACCAAGGGGATCCTGCTGTTTGGTTTTCAAAGATGATTCCAAGTATCACTGGTAATGTGGGAGTCCAATGAGAACAGATGCATGAACTTTTCATTGATTCTTCAATTTCCTATATATAGGAATATATATATATATATATATATATATATATATATATATATATATATATAGGCCCAGTGAACAAATTTGTGCACAGGTGGGGTCCGGGGTCCGGCCAGCCCGGCCCAAATCGGGGCAGATCAGGGTTGGGCCTGTTGAAAGGAGATGGTGGGAGGTTGGCCGGCTGGTCCGCCCTAATTGGGGCTGACCAGGGCTGGGCTGGCTGGGGGAAGGAGCCATGGGCAACTGGCCCCTGATTGGGGTTGGGGGGACGATTGGGGGTGGAGCTGGCCATGGGGAGGGGCTGTGGGTGGTGGGCCAGCTGGCTCCGCCCCTGATTGGGGTGGGGAGGCCCATCTGGGGTGCAGGATGGTGGGGGCCCATCGGGGGCGCAGCTGATGGGGGGGAAGGGGTTGCAGGAGGTTGGCGGGCCAGCCCCGCCCCCTACTGGGGTGGGCTGGTTGGGGAGAGGGGCCTATCATGGTGGGGCTGGCTGATCGGGCAGGGCTGGCCAGGGGAAGGGAGGGGGTGTTTGGCCAGTCGGCCTGCTCTTGATCAGGGTGGGAGAATCCACCCTGCATGCTGGCAGGGGGGAGGGGCCCTGAGGTTGGCTGGCTGGCCCCACCCCCTGATCAACCAGTTTGCTGGCCACCGGTAGTTATGGTCATATGGCCATTATGGTCACTGGCTTTTTATATAGATAGGTAGATATTACTCAACATCTCCAAGATTTCCCTTACCTCTTCACATTGTCCTAGGACTTACTTCCAGGATTCTCCGTACCCTCTATTCTGGCCTTTGGGTCTCACCCTGGACTCCAAGGAAAGGAGTCAGAGCACAGCAGGAAACAGATTATCACAGTCTTCACCCACACTATTTAGCCAGGAGAAAAACCCATGGCCTTGTAATTAACAGAAGAGTCCCTTCATCCCAGGCTGTCCACATGGCTGCTCATCCTTCCCATACAGTTTAGACAGAATGCAGATCACAGCTTAATTGAGAGGGCTTAATTCTGCTGCAGCAGCAAGCACACTGTTGGCACCTCTGATAACACATCTTACTGTTGCTATGGCTCTTTGTATTAATATAATTGTGTTTGTTGTTATTATTCCTGTTAAGAACATTGTATCTCTGAACTCTCCCCCTTTGCCTTGCTTAATTCTCCCTCCCTCCCTCCCTCCCTCTCTGTTAATTTCTCTATTCTAACCCTCCCCACCCCATAGTAGCCCTGAGCCATCGTAGTCAGAGACTGGGCTTCTGGTAAGATGCTTTCTGCTCCTTTTCACTCTGCTGTTTAAGGCGACTTCCCTCTGTCATCTTACTTTCTTATGGGCTTTCTGAGCCTCCGTCCAGAAGGAAGCATTTAGTATGGAAGCGATCATCACATTTATTATATTTGGGGGGCAGGCAGGGGCTGTAGGTCTAATAAGTCAGCACATCACTAAGGCTGTGCAGAGTAACTGGAAGGAATCCCAGTGAGTGAGGTGAAGAGAGGGGTGTTCCCTCCTCAGTGTGCTGCAGGTACTACCTGTATCATAAAAACAGAGAGCTAGGTTGTGAAAGCGATCTGGAGAGGATTATGCTGAGAAAATTACTAAGATGTAGACAAAGAGAATAATTTTCTCTCTTTTTAATATAAATCTGTTCTACCCAGAGGGAAGGGGGTTTGGGGGACTGGGTGAAAAGGTGAATGGATTAAGAAGTGCAAATTGGTAGTTATAAAATAGTCACAGTGATGTAAAGTACAGCATAGGGAATATAGTCAATAATATTGTAATAACCATGTATGGTGTCAGGTGGTCTATCAGGGGGAACAATTTGTAGGTATATGATTCACTATGCTGCACACCTGAAACTAATACAAAATAATATTGAATATAAATTGTATTTGAAAAATAAAAGTTAAAAAATTCCAAATACATCATATACAAGTATACACACACACACACACACACACACACACACACACTAGAAGCCCGGTGCACGAAATTTGTGCACTGGAGGGGGGAGGGGTGTCCCTCAGCCCAGCCTGCACCCTCTCTAATCTGGGACCCCTCAGGGGATGTCCGACTGCCAGTTTAGGCCCGATCCCACAGGGATCACAATTCGGGACTGCTGGCTCCCAACTGCTCGCCTGCCTGCCTGCCTGATTGCCACTAACCACTTCTGCCTGCCAGCCTGATCACCCCCTAATCACTCCCCTGCTGGCCCGATTGCCCCCAACTGCCCTCCCCTGCCAGCCTGGTCGCCCCCAACTGCCCTCCCCTGCAGGCCTGGTCCCCCCCCAACTGCCCTCCCCTGCCGACCATCTTGTGGTGGCCATCTTGTGACGACATGGTGGCAGCCATATTGTGACCACATGGGGGCAGCCATCTGTGTGATGGTGTGATGGTGAATTTGCATATTACCTCTTTATTATATAGAATATATATATATATTTTTTTCCTGATTATAAAATATGCTCATTGAAAAAAAAAATTAGAAAAGCACAAAGAAAGGGGAAATCACCTTAAATCCTACCCAGGGATGACACTGTAACCAAATTGAGGTGGTTTTTCTAGTCATTTTTCTCTATTATTTTTGTTTCTCATTAATACAAATACATACTTCATCTACACTGAGTATATGTGTCTAATTGATCAGAATTGGAAAATATTTTAAAGGGCAACATAAACAGATACCTTTACTCAATATTTTGTAGTACTTTTTTCTTATGCATTTGTTAATTTAGACAGGAGCCAGTTTCTTTATTGACTTATCTGGTACTTGCATATTTTGCAAAATTGTGTCCATTGCACAGCATCTACAAGTTGTTATCCTACTTTTTAAATTTAATATCCTAATGTGATTCTTATTCCCAGGTCATTAAGTCTTCTCTAAAGTTTAACTTTAACAGCTATGTATTATTCCATCAAAAAGAGA